TTGAATATTACGCCTCAAAAACAGAACACTCTGTATAGTTGAAAATAATTTTAGTGTATGCTACGCGATTTCTATAGTCCGTTTTTTCCATATCGTGCAATTAGTTCTGCAGTTTGGTCTTTTGACCATCCAAATTTGGCCATGGCAAAGCTCACCACTCGCGGACAGAACTGTAGGAATTCGAAACGTGTTCGTATTGTGAAAGTACCTCCAGAGAGCAGTGGCGGCTTGTCCATAAGGTCGTTGGGACAATGCCCCCCCAAATATTTTTACGAATAAAAAACATTATTTTTTTATTACATATTATTCCATTTATTATTTGATAATTTATTTTTGATGATTTTTACCCTAAGCGAGGAGTAGATCCCGTCCACGTCCAAGCGCGATATGTTAACTCTGCAAAGAGACCCAGGTTTCCGTGCAGTCGGATTTCAGATTAGACTCTACGGTCGCTTATGGAGGCTGATAGCATATGTGGAAACTGCATTTACGCAAGACAGAGATAGGCTTTAGCGTGATTCAACATAGCAGACAAGGTACAGAATATCCTCGGCATACCTGCAATGGTGTCGACGGCCCAAGACTGTCGCACGCTTCCGATTTCGTACCAACACCACTAACCGATTAATTATCAGAGTAGAACAGTGTTTTTGTTAGATGTATTTTCTAAACATGGTCGGAAAGGTAATTTTGTGCTGAACAACCCTCAAAGGAGATAATATACATATGTCGTAAAAAAAAATTATTCGAATTTTTATTATCGTCCGGTGAACAATTAGAAAAATGAAGTGAATTCTAATTTTACATAGAAAAACGCGTAAGAAGCACCAAAAAATTGTTCCACAGATTTCTGTCGACAGATATTTAATTACGTCTACGATTAGATAACCTGCTTAGAATATGTAGAGGATCTAACTCTTTATAAAAGCCTCAGGTATTCGGAAATAATGGATACTTGGGACTTTGTCTTAAATCTTTCTTCGATTTTCTTGATTTCTCGATGAAAAGATTATCAGCAAAGAAATTTAAATGAGACATAATTTGTGGAACTTATGTTTCCTAAAAATTCACTGATCACTAAGCTAATTGATTCCCAAGTAAATTTTTCCATATCATTCAAATAGGCGTAGAACATTTGATCCTTCATTCGAATTTCAGGCCCAATAAAAATTCCTAAATATAGAAAACGTACATAATATGAAAAGTGAAATTCACTGTAATATTTCAGTTTTTACCTTGGTTTATGTTAGCAGCAGGAAGCTTAGGAAATATTGTTTTCAGATGCTGAAATGCTTTCCCTCTTGTATTTCACTTGCATAAGAAGCACATATGCTTGGTATATCCAGATTGGAAGCCAGTTACTAAAGCTACAATTTTTAAATCGTCTGTCAAATTGCACTCAAACTTTTTATCGTTAATACAGTTTAACGAGTGTTGAATATTCTCATATGTTTCTGCAGTTTGTATGGAGTATGCAGTCGGCAGTACTACATATTTATTCCCATTATGCAGTAGTACACCTTTAACTGGAACTACCTATGAAGAACAATCTCCAAAAAAAAATTTTTTGACGACGTAGGCATAATGTCTTATTAGATAGTTATTCAGCACAGAATAACCTTTCAGAATACATTTTCAGAATGCTTGTAACAAGAAATTTTTCTAAAATTGTTGGACTGTGTTATAATTACGAACTGGCAAAACAGCATTTCCAGGAATTATCACATGCATTGATTTTGTTTTTTGTTGTACTGCAATAGCAGTCTGTAGTTGGAACATTTTATAAGCAGTGCAACTTAGCGTCAACTTTTTTAAATCTTATTTGACCCCCCAACCTCTAGAATCACGAGCCGCCACTGCCAGAGAGGCACAGCTTTGGTTTCCAACTAGAGCCCAAGTTCTAGCAAATTTGCTACCCTGTCCACTGCTCGGTTACACTAGCGAGAGAAACGAGCGATTTGTACTCGACCGACAAATAATTTATGATTTTATGAGCTTTTTGTTAATCCTCTTTCAAGAAATTCAACTGAAATGTAAATGCTGGGAAAACAGGTAGCAAAAAGGGTATAGGTAAATTGTCTCCCGGGTTAGATTGGTAAGAGCGCTTAATACGACCGGCACCTGAAGATTATCATCCCGGCAGGTTATGATTCATCAAAGGACAATTACATGCAATGTTGTAGTGTGTAAAAACATCTATAAAATTATTGTCCCTAATAATTATATTTTCAGGTGAGGCAGGTATCAATTTATAAAAGCACTTGTGGATAAACACCGAAAATAAATATAAATATTAATTTTTGAATACTCATGCTACTTAACAATACATTTGTAGTACCTAATATGTAAATTATTATTAAAAATTCATTTAAAAACGTTATTTGAATAATAAAAAATGAATTTACTTCGTTGTGCATAGTTTAATCTCGTACTGCAACAAAATAATAATAATAATAATGAAGTATAATCAGAATCACTTATACAAACTATGATGTTTAATTATAAATTAAAAAAGTTAATCTAGTCTACTTTTCACATTACTTGCTTCAGATTTACGACAAATGAACATAATTTAGTCATTTATTTTCGTTTTACATTTTTTTTAGTATTTAATAATTTCATAAAAATGTGTTACCTATCTCAAAACGCTGTATAAATGTTGAAGTCAGGTAAACGATCAGATTTGGCCGAATTGCGTAGTCCTTTTCACGACTGTTTGCATAGAATCATAAACGTGTAAAATAAGTCGGCTTTACTCGAGAAATGATTTATGATGAACTGCTTACCAGGGGCGGCTTGTCCTATGAGGCAGGTGAGGCAGTGCCTCACCAATGAATTTTACGCCTTATTAGGATTTTTATTATTTTATACAGACACATTTCGGCCAATAATTTGTGTCTTTTTTCTAAAATTTTAAAAATAAATATAGAAAATTATATTCTTATTTTTATCTCGGTAGGTACTCGTTGCTCCCTTAATTAAACAGCGCGCTTAAATACTCGGCACAACATGTATTTTGTGACGCGAATGAGGCAGACTGGAAGCTTGCCTCTACAGCATATATAGAAATCATGTCGTTAATAGGCAAGCAACCTGCAATACACTCATAAGCGGTATGAGTTGAAAAAAGACAAAATTGAGGCTAGCCTCATTTCCGTGCTTGCAAAAGAGATGGACAACTATAATATTTGCGCGCGGGGAACGTGCGATTACAATGCAGTCTGCATTCGCAGGAGTATTCATAATTAGGCCGTTGATTGTTTTTCTACAAATCTGTGTGTGTATAAATTGATTCAAAATTTCGGTAACAGAATTTTGTCTTAAAAGTGCCTACGTTTGCGTGGATCGCGTTGGTGCTTTGTGCTTGTCATAATTTGATTTCGGTAATCGTTATTTAAGATTACGAGTAAATCGGAATTTTTCTCTACTAACGTTAAATGACAATGGCAGTTCTGTTTTTTCTACTTTCACGTATGATGATAAATTGTATGTAGTTAAGGAATTAAAACCGCCGGTTCCTGATTTGAGTAAATCGTTAATTGATCCATAAAAAAAAATTAAAATAAATCCGTATTTATATTTTATATTTTTTTCATTTTGTTTTTTATTATAAATCGAATTAGCTTTATTTTATGTTGTATTTGATCTTTTTCAATATGTTTTCTTTAAAGTTTATTTTAATTTTGTTTTTTGTTAGAAGTTATATTAGTTTTTTCTGACCACGCTTCCCTTTCCTTTTGTCCTGTCATTCTCATCCTTTCCTTGCAAGACCTCCTTACACCTTCACGTTGGTTCTTTGTGGACAGTTAAATGAGTTTACAAATTTGTTTATTTGACTAAATAGAAAATATTTAAGTAATCTTGATTTATTTATATTTTAGAGGGTTTTGTGCTTTGCCTCATCAATTTTTCAAGTCATGAGCCGCCCCTGCTGCTTACTCTCGGGGAATACTTCCCCAATTCGAAGCTTCTTCACATGGACAGTATCTCTCGCAAGTAAACGCAGTTTGGCTTGTCCACTGGAGAGAATATCGTTCGCGGCGAGATCAGCCGATCAGTGTTTCGTCTTTACTCGACTGGACTCGGAGCTCTCCAGGGCTGATTTTGAGGCGATTTCTCGCAAGTGGACACTTACCTTAATAGTTTGTTTCATGTCTAATTATTCTCTTGCAGGTTTAATAATATTTTTGCAACTTGAATTCACGTTTCGGTTCACAGAGATATTTGCGAATGCATTTTGATTTAATCCGTAACTCGAATTAATGCAGAATGTAATTAATAAGTTAAAGTTAAAGTTAATACCTTCCATCATCATCAGCACACAAATCGAGCTTTCAGATGATGTTGAAATTCTCAATCTTCACAATTTAAAAAGATACTACTTATTTTATGCTAACTTCTGTGATTTTCGCAAACAGTTGCATCAACGGAAAAAATTTACTTCTGAAGGTGCTTCATGGTGGAAATTGGTTAGAACAGCACTGTTGAAATGTTCGGACTAGAAAAACGAACGAATTTGTCGCAAATATAGAATACCTACGCACCCGTATTTATCCAACAGTGAAGTACTTTCACGAAAATTATCGTACCCAGCCTAATAATGTGGGAGTACCTTCTGAAAATAAAAATACAGTGAAAGCGATCAAAAAGAAGGTCATTGATAGATTTATTATAGAAATACAACAAAATCGGAGAGAAGTGTTCAGATTGTAGTTGTATGCAGAATTGATTGTGCTTCAGGTGCGAAAGTATTTCTGTCTAAATAAGTTTAGGTCGATTTTTTGTTTAACGAATTTCTTTCAGAAGCATAAAATGCACAAAAAGTAAAAATATGAATTTCTGTTATTGACGGAAAAGAGCAAACTCCTTTCCCAAATAAAAAAAATTTTAGAGAAGAAATTGATAAGTTATATTATTAAAAAAAAACTCGTAATACAATTAAAAATAAATAAAACTAACAATAATAATTAATTAATACAAAATGGTCTAAATGTATAACATTTACAAAAATAAAGATCACTCATTCTGGACAAAGTTTTTAGCAACAAAACAAGTCCCTGCAGTTGAATATTTCTTGACGACTTCCTCAGTTGCAGCTTTATACATTAGTAACTGCTTCACACAATGTTCCAAATGGTTAGATTTACGTAAAAATATATCTCTCTCTATTAAATTACCATTAACGTAATTTAAAAAAGAACTATTCTCTAAATCGTATTTTACAAGAACCAAATACAGTGATACACAAGCCAGCAGTGATGGTCTTAATGACGAAAAATCCAACAGCAAAGTAAACAGTTCTAACAAAAACATAGCACTATATCGAACTTTCTAAAAACAATATATAAAGTTATGCGAAATTTATGTAATTAAACAAAGAACTCACTAGATTATTTTCTAATTTTTCTCTGTGTAAATAATAGAACAGAAAAGAAGTTGGCTCTCCCAAATTTGTGTCGAACTTTAATGCTTTCAAGACTTGTTTTTCAGCAGAAAGAAACTGTTGGCGGGAGTATTTTCCATTACACAAAGAAACTAATTTCGGGATCTGAAAAAATGTTCAGAAAATTGTAGACGTTATTTTAACTGATTTATACCTGGATGAAATGAACATCAAAACTCTTATTAGCAATCCATAAGCATGTAATTGCCACTAACTCATACAAGTTTGAAGAAATTTTTGTAGAAAGTAACATGCAGTCAAACATACGTATTGCAATAAAAAATGTAGGTTGTGTTGACCTTAGTACTTGCTGAAAAATGTGGTAACTGTAAAACATTAACATATTTTGTGGTTCTTACTTGCACACTGATTAACCAGTTGACAACAGTCACCCTGTAGTTAAAATCAAATACTTTACTTAAAAGATCCTTTCGGAAAACAAAATATTTCTCCCTTTCAAGCATGTACGCATAATTCTCCTACAAAGACCATAAATTTCTAACGAACAGTTTAAAAAATTTGCACCTGCTACCTCAAAATAGTTAGCATCGTAAAGACAATCTTTGTACAAGTCTTCCTCCGCTATAAATGAAAAAATAATAATTAGATTCGTTTTTTGTTTTTGTCAAGAAAATTTTTGTTTCGGCACTTACTACAACGTTTGCACCTGTTACTAAGCTTTCTAACCAATGTTACTTTCCGTGCTGGTTTTCTAACTTGAATGTCTTCAGCAGGTGGACGGGTAATTCTTATTACTGGCACTGGTTGAACGTCATTTGAAATATGATTGACATCCTTACTTTCCGACAAATAGTTAAGATGATGTTTCTCCTCCACGAACACGTCATCTTCGTTGCTAACAATTTCGTCGTCATCAGGTTGGCGTTCTGTGATAATCTGTGGCTCCAAGGAACATTTTATTCTTGTTTCTACCGCACTAGATGACTTCGAGCGCACAGTTTTCACTTCACTCGTTTTCGCACTAGGAACTTTGCTGGTGGATTTACGAAATTTAATATTATTGGAAGCTTTATTTGGCTGAGGTATATTGTCGCAGAGATCTTGAAGTGGATTTCGTGGTCCTTTAGAAGGAGCGCCATATTTTTCCAATACTTTTTTGGAGGGTCCGTTCTCTTTTGTTGATGGAAACGATTTTAGACTTTTTCTGCTCATTGCTACTTTATTTTATACTACTTATTATCACTCTTTGATACACCAAATCACTACACAGTAGTTCTTTTTCAGTAGTACTACTGATAGTTGAAAGCGTGATAACTTTTTGTAAAAATCTGTTGAAAAAAGTTGAATCTTAAAATTAATGTGACCTTAATTTAATAACTATAGATATATATATTTATATCGAAGTTACCCAGCTTTTGAAGCACAATCAAAATCGCATGAAGTTTAAGACGTATATTTTTCACGAAAAAATCATTTTCTAAGCATTTTAATATAATGTCATGAAGTTATCGACAACAATTTACACATTAATTTTTATATATGTACACAATGTGACAAAACACTAACCACAACATTATTGTGTTTATACAATTTTTGAGCAAACCGGATGAACCATTTGCGAAATTAATTTAATAAGCACCTTAAACATAAAACAAAGCTGCTGTGTTTATTAATTTTTTAAATTGAATAAATTACTTTCAAAAGAAAGACTGAATAAATTATTAACAATTTCAAGAAATTAATAGTGAAACAATTTGGAATTCTCTGAAATCCGTGTGGAATTATTTGTACATATTTTTGGAGTTCTTTGAAAATTTGTCAATCGTTCATTTACTTAAAAAAAATCAATTTACGGTACTTATATCCTTATTTTAAAAGATTTTCATTATAATATTATAAGCCTCACAAACTATTCGATTTTTTGCCTTCTCGTTTTTAGATGATCACATTTTATACCAATATACAAGCACTGGTTTGTGGAGGACGCCGGGGCTCGGAAATTTTAGAATACAGTAATGTTGCGCCCGCCTACATTTATAATGATAAAATAAAAATTGTCATAGTAACATCGACTTACCCGAAATAATATTCAGAACGTTTTGCTGCATTCCCCTGTTTTGAGGAGATAATTTGCTGCGTGCTTAATTGTCGCATTCTTTCAATGTATAAACATAAACGATTGAAGTTAAGCAAGTACTGATAATATATTTTTACTTTAGAGGCGAGGAAAGATCTGTCTAAATAATTTTAGACAATTTTTTTGCATTTAAAAGAGAAAGCCTTGCAGGCGCCTAGTATCTTTTTTTAATATAAAAAAATCTTAGGGTCTCTTGCGTTTTGTTTTTAAAATATTTTTTAAAAATTTCGAGGATCGGTGTAGTTCTTTATTTGGAATGAATTTTACAGAATCTTTAGGGCTCCTAGCGGCTTTTTTTCAAATATGCAATGTTTCGTTTTTCAAGGAGAAATCAAAATATTGTCAAAACCGAAAAATCAAAAATTTTTAAAATCTAAAAAATCCTAAAATTAAAATATCGCATAGATGAAAATGTCGAAAAATCTAAAATTTAAAAACGCGCTAACTTTTAAAAATTGAGTACATAAAAAAACAAAATTGAAAAAAACCCAAAACTTAAACAGAGAAATCGAAACATCGGAATTTTAAAATATCGATTAATTCAGAAGTTGGGAAATCCAAAAATCCAAAAATTTAGAAACGCCAAAAATTGAAAAATCGAAAAATTTAAATACATAAATTCCAAAACTAAAACGAAAAATTGGAAACTCGAATAATCGAAAAGACGAATAATCAAAAAACTGAGAAATCGAAATCAAAAAATTGAAAAAAACGCGAAATCGAAACATCAAAATATCGATAAGTCGCGAAGTCGAAAAATTGAGATATCGAAATAGCTTGTCGCCTAAGAACTTGTTTGATCCACAGACCGGAGCGCACTCAGGCCAATATCCACTCTAATAATTAAGCGTTCAGAATTTCTGCAAAAAATAGTTATTATTTAGATGCTTTTAGCTACAAAAATGTATCACATTTAAATCCAAAGATGATTTTTAAGGAAACCTTGACTCTATAAAATACTCCTGACAAATACTTGCTAATTTACGGAAAAAAGTATATTTTAAATGCTTATTAATTGAAATTATCGAAGAATCAAACATTTTAAACATCGAAAAATCTTAAAAACTAGAAATTGAAAAGTTACCAAAACTGATAATGTAATGCCGAAAAATTGAAAAATAGAAATAGTGAAAAACTGAAAAATCGGATAATTGAAAAATCGAAACATCGAAAAATAAAAAAAAATTGGAAAATCGAAAATTTAAATTCCGAAAATTGAAAAATTGAAATATAAAGGAACTGAAAACTTAAGAAATCGAAAAACCTAAAACCTAAAATTTTAAAACACGAAAAATTGAAAATGCAAAAAGTAAAAAGTTGAGAAATCGAAAAATCCAGAACTTGAAAAATCGAAAATTCGAAATAGGTACTAAAAAATCCCAAAACTCAAATATGGAAAAATAGAAAAATCGGAGAAAAATTGAAAAATCGAAAAGTCAAAAAAGCGAAGTCGAAAAGTCGCAAACTTAAAAAATTGAAAAATCAAAAACCTGAGAAATCGACAAATTGAAGAACTGAAGAACTGGAGGATCGAAACTTTGTGCAATCGAGAAATGAGAAAATCAAAAAATAGATTAATTGAGAAATCGTAAAATTGAAAACTCAGAAACGTCAACGTATGAAAAATTCAAAAATTTTCAAGAACTGAAAAATCGAAAAATCTAGAATTTAAAACATCAAAAAATTAAAAAAACAATCGAAAATCTAAAATTTAAAAATCGAAAAATTTAAAAAAAAAAACAAATCGAGAAATCGAAACTCGAAAATTAAAAAAAAAATGTAAAACTGAAAAATCGAAACATCTAAAAATCAAAAAGCCGAAAAGTAGAAAATCGAAAAACCGGCAAATCGAAAAATTAAGAAACTGAAATAGGCCAAAATCGAAAAGTTAAAAATGGAAAAATTGAAAAATTAAAATATAGAAAAACTGAGAACTCGGGAAATCGAAAAATCGAATAGTTGAAAAATTGAGAAATCGAAATATAAAACAGTCGAAAAATTGAAAAATCTAAAGTTTAAAAAACGAAAAACTGGCAATCCAAAAAATAAAAACTCGAAAAATCGAAAAGTCGAAGAACTTTTAACAACATGTACCATCGAGCTTATACGTCATTTTTTCATCACATTCTGTATTATTTATATATAATTATTATATTATTATGAAAGAGAATCTGTGGAGAACTTGACACTAAAATTTAATTTTCACAAACAGCATAGCAAGTATAGCCTGAAAGTGCCACACTAACCGACTAGTTCCTGAAAGTATTTTGTTAATAATTATATATCCGTGGCAGCTCTTAATATTTAAATTAAAAAAAAAACTAATGTTTGCTTAATTGAAAGATAATATGTAATTAGAAAACGAAGAGAAATTTGGAAATAATTGCTTAATTAGTCGTATGACTGGGTCTCGTTTGCTTAATCACATGACTGAGCAGGAATTATGAATCACTAGATCAATAGGTACGTTTGAATAGCAAATTTTACTAATCAATGTTTACTCTGTCACAACTTTATTCTAATATGGGTAGCCGCTTTAGCAAGGAAGGTGTGTTCACCCCCTCCACCCCCTTCCCAAAAATAAGTCTTACTTTCAAAAAATCATTGTGAATTTCAAATATTAAAGAAAATCTAAATTCTGTAATCACATTCTTAAAAACTATTATTATTATTTATTAAATTTGGCAAAAATAATATGTGTTTATATAAATTGACACTATAGGCAGACCACGTGATAGCCTCTTTCGTTCTGCATTCGACTTTACTCTGAAATCTTAAGGTGACTGCATCATGGTAAATCGTTAATCAAAATTTATTTGTTTATCCTCCCCAAAAAATTGATAACGTCATTTCAAAATTTTGCCGAATAAATTCTACTTATCCGTGATTATTTTCTAGATTTCCTTATACAAGGTGAGTCAAAAAAATTAATGAATGAGCAGGCAATTTATTTAATTAATCAGATTAAGAACAGCTCACCCCATTTTCCCGAAAATTCGGGAATACAGTACTGTTACTATCAGCATTACATTGCTTACTTGTCATTGTTTAAGTATCTAGGTATATATATTAAAACAATGCTTACATAAAGAGATATACGTATTCTTGCTAAAATGCTGATGACGTCATCGCAAAATTTATTAATGGAAAAACTCACTTCCCGTAAACAAAATTTCGTCTCAGATGCATTTCTGACTTGGTATACTTATTTGATCCATGAAACATTTGATTTAATTCAGAAATGTTTCACTGAAATGTTGGAAAATTATACGTTGCTGGAATATCTCTGCAAAATGTCTGATACTTTTATCTTCCATATATCTATATCTAGATAATTTTAAAAGTATCTGTCCCCAACACTGTCAGGTACTCATTTCTAATATAAAACTGAAAAATTAGCGCGAAAGTAGGTATTTATTATAACCACATCAAGATACATACTATTCCTTATATACCTACGTCATTCCGCGAAGACTAAAACCCCGCTTAAATGCACTGGTATTAGTTTGTGGTTAAGTCATAATTTTAAACCTAAATTATCGACGATGATGACATGAGTACATGTATCACATCACAAATCGTAAAAACTACATTAAAAGTTTAATACTTACCATTTTGCACAAAAATAACTACAAAATTTCAGTTTATTTAGTTCACATTCACACACAAAACAAGTTTACTGGACATGTAGCGAACACTGCTGACACTGCCAAGTGGGTTGCGCATTGGTTGTGCGCATCTTGTGTTTCACTGGAAACGTTTCGAACTTCAAACACATTGTAAAAGAAATGTGTTTCGCGAAAGTTATTATAAACACTTCAAAAATATTTCTAAGAATTGTTTCATTTTTTAAACTTTATGTTTCATTTGAAATGTTTCTCAAATGTTTCTTGCTCACTTGACAGTGCATACATATAATATCTATTTTAACTTATAAAGGTTATTATAAAAAAAAAACAAAATTTCCAAAATCAAATTTTACAATTTTTCGAAAAAGCTTGATATGTTGTATCAGTTGTACTGTACTTCAGGGGCCACGGGTCAGGGATCTTCTGTTTAAATAACCTGCACCAATTTTTGTTGGATAAAAGCTATTAAATATTGTTGTCTTTATTATTTCAGAGAGGTTGTGGCAACGACAGAAACTTTTTATTACGTCGGTAAAAAAGTTTATTGCAGTAATAAATGCACTCCCCTGCTACTAGGGCCCGACTACACCAAGCATGGACAAATAAATAAGTTTCTTTCCTCCATAATATCAAGAGTTCCTCCACTTTTGTTGACGATTACAATTTATAGCCACACTTCTGTTTTTTACGAGTTTTAAAGTTTTACGCACCTATAATTTTTTTGCGGAGTCCTAATTCGGTGTTATAAGTATGTCTTCAAAATAACATTTTGCTTTCCGGGCGTAAGCTATGGCAGTATTGTTATGGGACCAATCTGGCTAATTTCATATTTTCTCGACGTTCCATATCTGCTAGAATATGATTTTTTTTATACCTTTCGGTCTGTTGGCAATTTTATTCGGCAAGTGATCTCAAAAACTACCATACATATTACACGGGTACGTCTTTAAAAAAAAATCTTTAACAGAGAATTTTACCATGTAATCTAAAAAACTACAGAACCGATTGCTTTAACATTTTATAGGCGTGTTTTAAGGTTGTTGTATGCTGTGCTCATTTGAAATGTTCAGAAAAGCGCCCTTCTGTGCATACAATTTCTTCATACACTCCTATTTTATTGAAAAGTTTACACATATGTCACACACAAAAAAATATATGAAGCAATTTATTTCATTCAGTAAATCAGTTAAACAGCTTACCTCATTTTTGCCTGTAATTCTATTACACGAATGCTGTTAATAGTAGTATTACCACAGTAGATATTACACTGAATCTATTCAAATTGGTCTACTTACCCCTACTAAAAAGTTGATGACGTCAGCACCACTGTTTACCAGCCTCCTTATGTTATTTTGTAACACTTTTGACGTTCCGAGAGAGCAATAAAAATATGGATTTTTTTCCACCGCCAATATAAAAGTTTGATTTGAGTAACCAAAGACAAACTTTCAACAATTTATGATTACTTTTGTAGTGTTTTTATTGCTCTCAATAGCATAAATGTCCAACTCTTGCAAGTATCTAACTTACTTAACGTTAATTGATTAACTTTGAACAAACTGAAAAGCTATTTTATAAGTAAGCAAAATATTAGAAAAGCTTTTGTTAATTCATAACACATAACTTTTGCTGAGATTCAAAATTTTATTACATTATGTAAAATAAATACACCACATAAAAATTAGATACACAGATAAGTATATGTTACCTGCTTGATTTATTCTTGTTTCTTCGAGCAATTATGTTCATTCTACAAAAAGAAAACAAAGTATACCAAAAACAAACAACAATAATCAATTCACCTCTTTCACCACAAGGTTACCACTTAACCTTTGACTCATAAAACGATATTGTAATTTGACTTTTTCTTTCACTTTGTCTGGAATGACCATAATCGTGGTAGCAGTGTTACCAATGAATAAAATAAAGAACATAAAACTTAAAACAGGCACCTAGAACAAATTATTAAAGATAAAAACTACCACCACACCTAAGTATTATTACTTACGTGCCACGTAGACGTAGGGGAGTAACTTAATAAATATAAAGCATAAGCATTATAGAGTTGGATGACATATCCAAAAAATAAGAATGGTAATAAAAAGCTCAATCCTCGCCACATCCATGAATGAAATCCCTCGATTGTGATATCCATATTGTGTCTTTCACCTAGTGCTTTTAATCGATATAAAACTCCACTTTGATATCTAAATTGTAAATACTGAACGACACCTAAAATAAACATGTCAAAAAATGATAACAAACTAGTCATCTAAAAAATTACTAATATATGCGCTAAACCACATTAATTGATTTCTAAATTGTGCCCATGTAGGTGTATCTGGCCAAATTAGCAATATTCCTGCCGCTACTGTCGATAAAAAGTGATGCAACCTCCACCATCCCTTTATTCGAGACCCATTAACTTTTAAAATGCTCTCTCTGATGGTCAGTGTGCAGTAATACCACACTAACAAAAATATGAAGCTGAGTTCTAGTGGTCTAAAATACCCCATTAAAATATTAAACTTGTCTTATTGGTGTAAAGTAATCTTACCTAAAAACAACTGACAAATTTAACACCGACATCACAAACCCAATGATGCTTAATACCAGTTTAAATTTTTCATACTCATTTTTGTACCTAAATCTGAAATTTATATTGATCAGGGTATTATAGGAGACTGTTAATTTATCAAACATACTTTGCCTCCCGGTTGATTATAGAAACATTAACATTTCCTAAAATAATTTTAAGATAAATGCCATTCTGTTTAGGAAGAGTTTGTTCTATTTCATGTAAATGGGCTCTTCTTTTCATAATCCCATCATGCAAAACATCAACCTTTTCTTTACACTCTGGTTGTTTACTAAGGCTAAGTAATTCAGTTATAACAACAATATTGACTGATTACTATCAATAAAATCAATTAATGATGATAATGATACACTTACTCCTTCAGAGAATTTTCAATGATGTTAAGTCTGTAATTTTGATGTTCTATATGTTTGAGGCATTGTTTCTGGTAGGAGTCGAGTTCATCTAACTTTTCTAAGTACGTCTTATTTGCTACCTACAATAACAGTTCGATTTGATAGTTTTTGAAGACATTACATTAATAATGTTCTAACCTCCAATTCTTTAAAATCAGAACTTAATTCATCCCAGTCTTCAAATACACTGTCTTCCATTGTTAACTGTACTAAAATTTAGAAAAACCACTTGAATGGCAAATTTTCATACATAAAATACGTGTTTCTTTTCTAGATTTGTGCTTGGTTTCGGTGAAAATTTTTATTTGCCTTTGACATTCAGAATTTGACATTTACGAGCGATAAAAATCACCAAGGTGAAACTATTTTAGTGACATATGTCTGGTAACAGTGGTGGCATTGTCGCGTTATGCATTAACTTGATAAAAATGAAGCTTATCTATACATGTTTTCAACAAGCAATTGCTTTTTGTTTTCAAAACAGAGAAGTTGTGGCGAAAAAAACGGACACGTAAATGCACTTGCGTACAAAGTGCGGCTAATTTTTAAATTTTATGTTGGCAGAATTTGTTTGGTTATTTTTAGTTTCTTGGCGTTCCTATTGTGTTGGCTGTATTGACAATTCTTTGTGAAGTGAGACAGAATTGTTTTATGGTTGAGATTTTTCGAGTAACTTCCAAAGCTGGAAATATTATCTGTATATAAAGTGATTTATGTAATAAATATTTAATTATTCGAAGCGATATTATATGGCGAAGTACTTCTAAGTGTTTGGAAATAACGGTTTAGTGTCGATTTTAATTATGAACTGATTATATTCCGACATGGCTGCTACTAGAAAATTACAAGGTGAGGAAGTGAAGAGCCTATGTAACTGCATTCTAATTTACGCATAATACCTGCTAATTGGTAAAGAAACACCACAACATCTAAAATATGTTGTACAGAGGTCTACCTTTAACATGCTTGTACCTGTTTTCAAACTAGAAAAACACAATACCCCAGAAAATTTACATAAATCCTGCTTGTATTGATAGCAAGTGAAGTCCTGTTTTTATGTATTTTTATTTACATGTTATTATGTTTTTGAATAGTTGAATCGTAACCGCTTTACTTCAGTCACTTTATTTATCAAAACTGACATACAACATAGCCCTAAATTGTCAAGCTGTCACTGTGTCGATGTACTTATGAACAATATTTTTTTAATAAAATCGAAAGTTTATTCATAAAAAATGAAATTGCGAGCGTCAGATCGCCACAAACAAGTATTCCTCTGTAAATTTTAGAATCATTGTGGTAAATAAGGATGTGGTTACATATGATAACCCCCAAATATAAACATGGTCAAATGTGGATTCTAGGAAGATTTCAGTTCAAAAGTGACGATAAAAGTTGATTATGTTTTTAGGAGAAATCGATCGCTGCCTTAAAAAAGTAACAGAAGGTGTAGAAACGTTCGAGGATATTTGGCAAAAAGTTCACAATGCTACGAATAGTAACCAAAAGGAGAAATATGAAGCAGATCTCAAAAAAGAAATCAAAAAGCTCCAGAGGCTTCGAGATCAAATTAAAAGTTGGATAGCTTCAGCCGAAATCAAAGACAAAAGTGTTCTTATGGATAATAGAAAGCTAATAGAAACGGTATTTGTACACTAGATGAAGATTTCGGACGTGACAGTTGTGTGTTTCAGCAAATGGAACGATTTAAAGTTGTCGAAAGGGAAACAAAAACGAAAGCATATTCAAAAGAGGGTTTAGGAGCTGCGCAAAAACTAGATCCAGCGCAGAAGGAAAGAGAGGAAATTCAGCATTGGTTAGTGGCGTCCATTGATTTATTAAATATACAAGTGAGTTAAGTGTTTGGCCGTGGTCCCAGATATGTGTAAGAATTCTTTGTAGACGGATGCTTTTGAAAGTGAAATTGAGTCGTTACTAGCCAACAAGAAAAAGAAACTTGATAAAGATAAACAAGAAAGAATGGACGAATTAAAAGGAAGGTTAGAAAGGCACAGGTTTCACATACGAAAATTAGAAACGTTGTTACGAATGCTTGATAATATGTCTGTTGAAGTTTCTCAAGTACTGATTTACCAATTCCCCCGAACGACTTACCACGCGATTGTGTTGCAGATACGAAGGATAAAAGACAATGTTGAATATTACATAGAGTCTTCAATGGAACCTGATTTTGAGGATAATGAATTTATCTATGATGATATAATTGGGCTGGATGAAGTAGAATTATCAGGTGTCGGGCTTCCTTCATCAGCCACAACTGACAGCAACGAAACTGGCGGAACACCAACTTCTATTATTTCGGGATCATCCCCAATTGCGTCGCCGGCGTTAGGGGGACAACCTTATAACCATTCCAGTGATAGTTCAAATGAAGCTGATAAGAAAGCAATTTTCAAAGACGCTCTTAAAGTAAGTGTTATAAGTTATTATGTTGCAATTTTTACGCAGTCGTTTGCGACAATAAATTAAGCAAATAAATCACGCAAAAAAGTGAAAACTCGGTTTTTCAGTGTTGCTCAAATCATAATTTAAATTGTAAACAACTGATACAAGGTCATTGCACAAGATTGTTTTGGTTTTGCACACTTTTTGTCTTTAATTTATGTTTCCAAGTTTCAGAAATTGATAAAAATGTTCGTTGTTTGCTAAGTGTAAATTAATTCATTTGTCAATTTTGTAAATTTAATATGTATTTGAAAACTATAAAAAAAATAATAATGGTGATAATTTTTAAACATATTTTAATTCAATACAACAAGATATTACAAAAGTTCATATTAATAGTTCTAAATTTTTAAGACAATGTGATATTTTTTGCGCTTTTATTATTTCATTTTGATATCGTTATTTAGCCACGAGTTACCAATTAGCCTACTAATTGTGGTGCACTAGAAATAAATATAAACGTAGGACTCTTTTTTTTCTTATTTTTTTTTATTCTCTCTATACATATAATATGTGTTAAATTCATAGCACATTTTTTCATGCACATGACTTTAATGACTTTAAAAACATAAAATCAATTACAACATTGGTTATTTAAATAGTGAAAGAACAAGCTAAAATCCACTACAGTTCATATTTATTATTTCAGCCTGTTAAACCAACAGCGGTCCGAGCGACGTCAGCGATGAACAGCACCAACAACAATTCCATTTTGAGTTACAGTTGTAACAGTACGACGTCTACACCTAGCAGCAAACCTGTCCTAGTTAGTAGTACCCCTAGTAAACAGTCAGTAAGGGAAACATCACCAGTGGCGTCTCAGTTGAATTCAACTGGAAACTTTGCCACAGTCGCTGCAACTGCCACCACGCCGAAAGCAAACGCAAGTTAGTGAAACAAAACTTACTTTTTGAGCATTACTCAAGCGTTCTTCTCTTTAGCCAATGGGGAAACTGTTATGTCTTCTGTGATAACAAACAATAGTCAAGTTCAAGCGCAAAATAATACGGCTGTTGTTTCAAACGTGTCGTCGCATACTCAAAATTCGACGAGTGTACATGTAAGTGGGACGTTTTTGATTTCTGCATTTTCCACTTGCGTTGTTTACTGTGCAGGTTTCACAAAACTCAAATAACGTATCTCAGAAATTCAACGAACAGCATGTACAAAACAGCATCAGTCCTGAACTTAATAATAGCAGCAGAACGTCGCCGATGACTAATGCAGATGTTACACACATGCAGCAACTAATGAACGGACCAACGACGGAGAACAAGGTAGGAGGATTTTTTAATTGTCAATGGAAATATTTTTCGTGGACAATAGATGGTCACTGACAACTTATGTACGTTAAAAATAGCGTGACGGTAGACGTATCACCACCTTGCTTTATTAGATTTGAACAAAAAGTTATAAAACGTTATTTAATATTGTAGTATTGTGTATTACATTGTGCGGTAGCTACCTTCATTTTCAATCCATAGTTATATTTCAGAAACTAAATTTGATTGTAAGTCTATATTTTAGAAAACTGGTATGCTTAGCTGGAACTTAAAGATTAATAATCGAAAATAATTTACCAAATTCCATTAATTGTAATTGTTAGCAAAATCTAGCTTGGGCTTTTGGCACCGATTTATTTTAAAAGGTAAAATTGTTACAAATTTACAAATGAAAAATTTGAGTAAAGAGCGAAAATGAAAAATAAAAAAATATGAAATATAAAAACATTGCTACCGTGGGGTGATCAGGTGATTGGAACAGTACTTGCGTTTTGGCGTATTTATTTTGATGTTGTTGGTACGGCAGTTGAAGGAAGACTCCATTAGTGTATGATTTTGAAATGAAAATAAAGGTCGGTAGAAAGCGTTGGAAACAGTTGTGTCTAAAGGGTTCTTGGAAGGTATTTGAAATCTGGGAACGGATAAGTATTACTGAGAAGGGTGAACAAAAGATAGGTTTTACGACATGCAGGTTGACAAAGAGAAAGTTTCGGGGTGATACTGGGAAGTAATTAAATACAGATTATATTCAAATATACAAGTGCTATACAATTTACCAAATTAATTAATTAATACCATTAATTAATTAATTTTGTGGGACTTGCCAGCCCCCACACTACTACAAAGGTACCAATGTGTAGTCTATAATTAATGACTTTTTAACGTTTTTAATATTTTTAAATTTGTTGTACTATGAGGGACATGGAATTCTGGGCCGTCTGTTCTTGTTATTTCAAAAAATATCAATGTAAATGCACCTTTAGCGTCAATATGATTGATATTTTCGAAAAAACTGTCAAATCAACTTTGAAATATGTATATCAATTGGTTCGACATGCCAGCTGTATCAATTTTTAACAAATCTCGAGCAGTAGCTGCATGTTAATATAATTGAAACAAATTTAATAAAACTTCGACTTTGTCAAAATTTATTCAAAAAAGCCAAAAATTTCCGCAGTTCTAATTCGATTTTATGATGTGTAAAAGTTAACTTTCTTAACAATAGATTACTACTGCCGATGTTGGGACACTCATAAATAAGGATCTAACCATTATACAGTATAATGGTATCAACATAGTTAAATACTTATTTATGACTGTCTCATTACCGGCAGTAGTAATCTATTGTTAAGGAAGTTAACTTTTACATAATGGAGTACTATCGTAAAACCGAATTAGAACTGGGGAAACCATATACTAAACTCACTTGACATACACCTAGTAAAACTTTTATGACTGAAGCAGCTTAAGCCAAACCACCCTTATAATGCAAACTGGCCATTGTATAACTTAACTCACTTGACATATACGTAGTAAAACTTTCCAGCTCCATTGTGGCAACAATGGACAGTAATAATTAGAGCTGTGCGGTTGAAATTTATTTATCCCCACTATCCGTCCCATCAGGCCAGCAGTGCAGGCCGCTGCAGTCTTGCCTTCCTCGCTTCTCGCTTCCCATTGTGTATTATTTTTCATAATTCACATCAATCGTTTTATTGTCAACGAGACCGACACTTGAACATTATTAAAATTATTATTCTTATTATTTCGTGGATATGGATTTTAAAATCATCAACTGATTTTCAGTGAACATTATTTTTCGCGTAAATTTCTTCGCGATACGTAACATCGGCTGCGAGCCGCTGGTCTGCCGTAGTAGGGGTCGATTCGAAGCGTTTAAATTTCGACCGCACAGCTCTAGTAATAATCCTTGCTGTTCGGGTCCATAAAGCTTACAATAGCCAGTTTGATCCATTCAAGGGTTTCTATCTCTTCCAACCCCTCGTTAAATAGAGTCGCCTCATCACTTTAAGAAACTTTTTGACTAAAGTTATAAATCATAACGACAAATAATTCCGTTGGATTTAAGTACTTTACCACAGTGAGTAGCTTAGGCTAAATACCTCCCTCTGATAACGTTAATGCACCCCATCCTTTTATACCTGGTTTATTTGTATACTAAAATAAAATGAAATAATGAAAAATGCCACTTCACGGGTGGGAACTAAAATCATTAAGGTGCCTTGGCAGTGAGATCGGAAATGCACTCGAGTGTTAGAGTGTTACCATGGCCGACTAGTATAAAGATTATGGCCTGTCTAAAGGACTGCCAAAGGTACCATACGTGCTGCCATCTATTAATAATTCAAAAACGACAAAAGAATTATTAACACTTTTTGAAAGGCACAAAGGCATTCATACCGAAACAAACCACCATTACACGTTTTGAAGTCCCATAATGTCAAGTCAAATTAAAATTTTGCTAAATTATTAGGTGTAATTATTAATAGATGGCAACACGTATCGTACCTCTTGAACAGGCCATAATCTTTATACTAGTCGGCCATGGTGTTACTAATTTGTACCACAGTATAGATATCAATCAGTAGAGACAACTCACTATTTTTACTGACCCGTTTTCATGGGTGGTCGTTTGTCTTGTGACCGTATGAGGGCGCGCAACGCAAGGTACTTCTCTTTCTTACACATTGGGACATTGAACTGCGGTACTTTGGTTATCTAGTGACTTTAATGTAAAATATTTGAAATTTGGCAGTTTAGTTGCATTGGTTTTGATGTTTTAAGGCTGATCTTCCGGTGTAATTATTGCAGTTAAGCAGTTAAGTGTAATTTTCACAGACATTTTAAAAAGCGTTGTTCACGTTTTCATAGGACCATTGTTTACTGTTTAATTTTTTTGTAAAAAAAATAAATGTACATATATTAGCGTTTTCTAATAACGTTGAATTTTACAACCATTTACAGCCATTATGAAAAAGAAGTTAATAAAATAAAATTTCAACACGGCATCTCTGTTATAGGGCACTTAATTAATTATTTATTATAATAGATTGTTGATTGATTGATTCTAAGATCAACTAGTTACAAAATGTTATTGTTATTACACTATTTTTAAGTCTTTTCCAAAAATTCATTTCATTCACATAGAAATATTTTGGGCAACGACCACCGATGACGGCTTAAAATTCGGGTCAGAAAGATCAAAGGCGCCGACACGAGTTGTCCATACTGATTGATGTCTATACTGTGTTTGTACTATAGATTCTGCAACCCTCTATACTTTATGCTTCTACCTGCATCTTTTCGCTTGTGGATTATGTTCAGTGGGAGGGTTTGTAAGTAGATTTGAAGATAAGATTTCCCAGAAATTTGTCTGTGCGAAATTTCGCAATAACGAGACGGACAGTAGTACAATAGTAAGAGATATTTACAACTTAAAGTTGTCGCGTGCCGGTAATCCGCAGATATTAGAAAGCAGAATAATCCAGGTCCGGAGAGAGACCATCGTTACTCACGAACGAAAATGGCCATAATTTTATGAGTACAACAACCTGCTAAATATTCTCCTACACATTCGTGTGAACTGGTGTTGGCCGTAAATATTTTTACCATTGTACTACTGTCCGTCTTTTTATTGTCAATAAAATTTTATAGGGTAGAATGAAATTTCCAAAATTATACAAAATAGCATATATTTTGTCCAGTAATGTGCAACTGACCTTGTACTTAAAAATACTACTTGTGGTTTGTTTTTAATTTGATTTTGTTAAATTTATCTATTTTGCAGTAAGAATTTTTTTTTCAACAGTCTGTGTCACACTATAATCGCGGGCCGAATAACAACATTTTACTTCAATTATTACGTTGTTCCCAATAATTCCATTGGATAAAGAAGCCAAAAATCTTGCAATTAATTTGTATTTTCAAAACGCTTGACGAGTTGACTAACTTTAAACTAACACAAATAAATAAGAACAGAAAATATAATCCCTTTGTAAGCTTTGCAGGTACAAAGGGTTGTAATTATTGTTTCATTGCTACTAGTTAACAAGAGAATCCTCATAATAGGACTGTTTACTAATAATACGTTTATCCGAACTATCTGCAGTTGAGTACCTGGCGATATAAATTTCTTATTTTATTTTTCATGAACAGGTCTATGATCAAATAAATCTAAAACGTTTAACCGCTACCGCGAGATCGAAAAAGAATTTAATCAAAGTTGTCCATGCACGACAAGCGGTTTGTCGTAATTTAAACTTTTTTATCAAATGTCAAATTGACAGTTTAAAATTAGAATTATAACACCTACTTTTAAAACACATAAAATGAATCAAAATCACCATTTTCCAATTTTGTCCCATTTTTACTTCCCGAGCGTAAGCAAAGGAAGTATTGTAATCGAGTCCGTCGGCCGACTCTCTACTTTTACGTTTTCTCGATCTTTCATGACCCCTAGAAGACGAAGAAATAGGTCTCCCATTTCCGTCTGTCTGTCCGTCTGTCCGTCTGCCGTCCCGGATTTTTATTAGACAGATAATCTCCGAAAGTACTCGACCGATTGTTGTGAAATTTTGTACTTATATTAAGAATATCATGTAGAACGCTAACCAAAATTTGTCTAATCATCCCCACCACTAATGCGATGACGTCACTTCAAAATTGTACATAGTAAATGGGTTTTCAATTGTATAAAATAACATAGTCCTACACATGTAGTTTACAACTCTGAATCGACTTTTCACCCGAAACGTCCAGATTTTTGGAAAAAAAATCAAAATTATAAAACAACATTTTGAAATTTAATTTTTAATCTGCTAACCAGAATGCTTTGAAATGTTGCAGATGTTTTAAGGCTATAAAGAGCATCATAAATCTTTAGTCAAAAAATATTTGCTTATCCCCTCCAAAAACTTGATGACGTCAGCTCAAAAGTTTGTGGAATAAATCATATCTAAAATGTACAAAATATG